TCAAACATCTATCGTCTTTATCTCCCCTCCTTCTTTTTTGTGTTTGTTACTCTCTTGTAACACCTCTAATTTTCAGCACTTATATGATCTTATTGTTTTGCAAGTGCCATAAAACGCTTACTAAAACTAAAACTAAACAGCCCCTCTTATTGAATGCTCCTCGTGATGTTTCAGGTTGTTGAGATGAGCCAGGAGGAGCTGCAGTCTGGTGGAGTCACCGCGGACACATTGTCCCTGGACACGGGGCTACAGCAGGCCTTCAGTCAGGGGGTAAGGGATGGAGTCATGGTTATGCTTATAATACATGAACACTAAGGGATGGAATCATGGTTATGCTTATAATACATGAACACTACAGCAGGCCTTCAGTCAGGGGATAAGGGATGAAATCATGGTTATGCCTTTAATCAGGTATGCCACTTTTCCGCTTTTTTTCCGGTATTTCTGGTATTTTGATCCTGATCCACTATTCCGTTATTGAGATTGAGATAGAATCTATGTACACCCTTTGGGTTTCAAATTGATATTCCTATGTTAGCGAGACCGTGGCGCGTGGATTTTCAGCTATTTAAAAAAAAAGTTGAGTGCATCCCTGTTATAATATATGAAGACTTACAGGGGAAAAACGACGGTAGTCACAAACTGAAAATTGTGAGGGAACCAATTTTGAATGCTTGTTGACTCATAACTGTATTTCTGTTCAACTGTTGGTTGATTATTGTTGTTAGATTTCCCATTCAACATCACCTAACAATAAACCATCAGTCAAACAAATATGAAGTTATGAGTCCACAAGCTTTTAAAATTGGCACCCTCACAATTTCCAGCTTGTGACTACCGTTGTTTTTCCCCAGTGCTCTTCACATGGATACAGTCTAGCCCGCATGTATGGAAATCTGGGGGAATGTGGAGTTGTGTTGCTATATATGGGCTTTAAATACAAAAAATATTTTATAAGAAAAAATCCGGGATCTGAAAATCAGTTTGCTGTGCTTGTTTTGCTATGTGAGTGCTAGACGGTACAAGGACAAAAATATAGTTGCCTTTCTAAAAAAATCCTGAGGTTTTGTTTTGTTTAGTTCATGATTTATGTTTCGATGTGGGCAGTGTTCCTTTCCAGAAAGAAATGCCAGGACATGAACAATTTTTAATTGCTCTTACGAGTAAAAAAGTGTTTCTAAATGACTTGGGAGAAATGTTTGATTTTAAGCTTTTTGGTTGGGATATTCAGTGAATTTTTAGATTGTACATCTTTTTGAAAAACTGGCCAAAAGGTATGCTTGTAGGGATACAAATTACTTGAAACATAGACTTTGAAGCATGCTCCTCTTTTTATATGGCTACTGAAGAGGACTGCAAGAGGATACATGTTTGTCCAGGATGCACAGTCCTTTGTGCAGTAAAGTCTTTTGAAAATCAGAAATATATTGCCACAACTCTATCTCAGACTTGCTCAAAATAGGCTCGAACTGACGGCTATATAGGGTAATGCAGGCCTGTCAGCTAAATCACACTTTTCTTCAGACTTAGCTTCATTTTATTTGCCTAAAGACAAAAAGATGATAGAAAAGACCACCTCTGTGCCAAATCTCTTCAAGCAGACAGATAAATGGATCTCTTCTCCCCCCCGTTATCTTTCATTCTAGATGTTTGGCCACAACTTCACACTTGTGAACCAGCAGCCTTTTGTTCAACTCATCAGCCAGAGCCAGGAGGACAAGGGGCGGGATCAAGGAGAGGAGAACATTCCAAGGGTGAGTTTCTAAGTGTGCTTTGTATGTGTATTTTGTGACTGCTCAGTGTAAGGCTTCTGCCATACGCTGTTTTGAAAAGTGACATATGCCTCATGCTGTTTTGAAAAATGACATACGACTCATACGCTGATTTGCAAAGTGACGGATGATGGAGTTGTACACTGAGCGGTCAATGTGTTATCAGAGGACTGATGAACCCTATGTGGCATATGGAGTGATGGGAGGGGAGACCGATGGTGGACCAAGACTGTTGAGATGGGGTTGGAAATTGTGGGGCAAAGCTAGACTGCAAGGCTTGCTAACCTGAACTTCTCTGTTGGGGTGTGGGCTTTATGTGGTTTATTAAGTTTGAAGTCCTGCTATGTCGCCCATTGTTAAAAGTTTTGTAGGTTTATAGAGATGTAGATTTGTTTAAAATTTTGACATCATTACTCCTTTAACCCTATTAGAAGGAATTCCCAGTCAACTTTTAATGCACGAAACCCCAACTATGCCAACTGCTCCTGAAAAGTTCCATCAACTGATAAATGTTTTTTTTGTGAATTGGGTGTTTGTTACTAAGCGTGTAATGTCTTCTTTTTGTTCAGCTCTGGTGGGAGGAAGATAACACCGTAGAATACTCTTTTTGTGGTTTCTCACAGGGAAGAGGTATTTTGAGATGTTCTTTTTTCGCTCCAGTGTATTATAACTTTCTTAGTCATTACATGGCTGTCAAAGGGGTTTGTATTTGTCACAGGTAAAAGTGTGTGGTAGCAGGAATGTGATCCACTGAATCTCTGTTGAAAAGGTTTGTGTCATAGATGGTAGTTATATCCCAAACTGAATGTTCTTTGTAATGTATGTTACCAAATGAGAACTGGTGGAAAATCGCCCAAGCTGAGATCATATTTCCACAAAATTGCACCAGCAGACAACCCAGATCTGGCCTGTCGAGCCTGCAAGGAGGAGGAAGAAACTATGGACTATGTTTTCTTGAGATGTCCTGCCAACTATCGTGCCAGAACCCATCTGCTGGGACATTTCAGTAACCCACTCTCAGCACTTTTTAAGGACCCCCGAGCGACTGTTGAGTTCCTGCGTGCTGTCGGCATCGCTGACCGTTTATGACGCAACAGCGCCAGAAGAAAGAGAGAGAGAGAATGTATGTTTCACTGCTCTTTGATTGACCCGTCTCTTGTTGTGTTGTTTCTCTGCAGGTTACTGTGCAGCTGGAAGGTCAGCTGAGTGCACAGGTAAACTCCTCTCTGTCCCAAGCCATTACAGGACAGAGTAGCTCGCAGTTCACAGACCAGGTAGGTTGGCGGGTGCTCTGGTGTGGTTTGCTTTTTCTTTCCTATCAAACATCTATCTCCCCACCTTCTTTTTTGTGTTTGTTACTCTCTTGTAACACCTAATCTTCGGCACTTATATGACCTTATTGTGTTGCAAGTGCCGTAAAACATGGACCAAAACTAAAAAGACCAGGTTTGTACATGTAACCAGGAAATGTGCACAATGTCTTGTATATGCTTGGGGGGGGGGGGGCTTTTCAAAATTTATAGTGTTTGATATATATATTATTCTGAGGAATAAGATGCAAATTCAAAAACTTTGTAAAATGATGTTGTTTTGGCTTTTGTGTTTTGATGTTTTGATCCTTTAAAAATTTGAGCTCAATGATGTGTCAAGTTAGACAGAAGTTTGATGTGCATATATGTTTTGTTTTAAATTTTTATGTGGATATCCCGTGAAATGTTTCTATCACATCGTAATCTTTGAGATTAAAAAAGGAAAGTGGCTATTCTCACCCGCCGGAAGTTCTCGCAAGATCAACTCCTCCCCTCTTCTCTCTCTCTCTGTCTCTTTCTGAATACTGTCTATCGGTGTGCACGATCAAATTGACCGAAACAAAGTTTAAAAATGATGTTAAAACACAAAAGTAAATTAATTTGGTTGTCTACAAAGATGCTACGGCTATTTAACTTTTCGAATCGAGCCGAACTACGCGGGTCGCCATTTTGTTTTGCCCGGAAATTCTCGCGCTACTCCTCTCTCTCTTTCTCTCTCTCTCTCCACTGCCCACAGACAAAATTGTACGCTTTTAGTAGGCTACAGTTGTAATGGAACGTTTGTTCACGGCACAGAATTCTACAATTTTTCTGTTATCACAGTGTAGAATTCTGTGGTTTAGGGTGAACGCAAAATTTGGTGAACGCGCACCGGGTGAGAATAGCCACAAGACTCGCCTGCACTATTCTCACTCCGGGTGAGAATAGAGGTGGCCTTAAAAAAGACAAATAGTCAAGCTTTCCTTTTTCTTTCATCATATTTTTCACAAATAATCATTGTTTGCCCACTTTATCTATTCCTAAGTAGTGTTCATTGGGAATGCAAGCGATAAAAATTTTAAAACTCTAAAGAATTGAAGAGGGCAACTCCACCAACTATAGAAAAATTTGCAGCTTTGCCCATATGTGCGTGTGTGCCAAAAGAAAGGTACCAAAAGTCGGGTTTTAACCATTTTGAGTTAAAGGTTGTACCTAACGGGACATTCAATGCTGAACACAGTGAATTTTGAATTTTTGAGATATCTCAAGTAGTTTTTGAGATATTGTACATTTTGCGAGGTAGGGTATAAAGATCTAATTTTGAGAAAATAAGCTTTTAAGTTTAGAAAACGTAAAAACTTGAAAAAATTGATGATTCAACTGTTTCTAATGTATTTATTCATGGGGGTGTAATCTGGTCCTTGTCTATTGGTAAATGGTTAAGAGTTGGAATATTGGAGGTGGAATTGTCAGCTGTAGGGAGTAGTATTTTTTGTTGTTTGGGAAGGTGCTTACACTCTTTTCCCCAGTGGGACTGAATGAGTGAGCAGATATAAGATAGTGTGTGAATGATGTTACCCATTTACCCTCTATTATCCACCGGTGAACCGAAATGGTGTATTTGAATGAACAGGATGTTCAAGGGTGTTAATGTGAAATCTTCTTAGGCCTGGGTCAGGAAAGATTTAGAGATAAGATAGTGTGTGAATGATCTTAACCATTTACATCCTATTATCCACCGGTGGACTGAAGTGATGGATTTGAATGAACAGATTGTTCAAGGGTGTTAATGTGAAATCTTCTTAGGTTGGGTCAGGATAGAGATTGAGTTAGTAAGTTTTCACCAGCTTTTGTTTTTATTTCTGTACTTGTCAGGCGACGACGTGGAAGCCCAGTGTCAGCACTAGTGTCTTGGATACGACCTTCACTAATCAGTCTGCTGTTATGTCTGTTATGTAAGTGATGTGTCTTGCTTGTATTCCTCTGTAATAAATGCTTTATCCATTGTCAAAAGTTTCCATGTGTCCTTCTCAGTAGGTGGGTGGTTGGCGGGTGCTCTGGTGTGGTTTGCTCCTTCTTTCCTATCAAACATCTGTCGTCTTTATCTCCCCTCCTCCTTTTTTTGTGTTTGTTACTCTCTTATAACACCTCTAATCTTTGGCACTTATATGACCTTATTGTGTTGCAAGTGCCGTAAAACTCTTACTAAAACTAAAACTAAACTTCTCAGTAGCACTTTTTGCTTGAGAAAATTTTGATGTTTCAACTTCTCTGACATAGATTTTTATCATTTCAATGCATAGCGTTGGAGATGCAAAATTTTTATAAGGGATATATAAGGTAACATGTCCGTATGAGCTATGTATTTAATCATTCTAATGATGAGGAAATTACTGCTTCTTCTATTACATATAGGGACATTTTGGTTTGCTTTCAATGAACTGACCAGGTTTACTTTTCGTATGTTTTTATGGTTTGCTCTAGTATACTTTTCTGGTTTGCCTTCAGATAGGTGACCTGATTTGACCTACTCTTGTAAATCATCTGTTTCTACTGTCCTTTTTCATGAAAATGATTTAAGCACTCTTTTTTAAATTTCGTCTCGCAATGTTAAATGCTCTTGTCTTTTCCAGGGAGGACCCTGGGGAGGTTCCTCAGGGTAATGAGGTAGAGGATGATGTGGAGGAAGAGGAGGAAGATGAGGAGGAGGAAGAGGAAGGTGTTCTTCAGGAAGATGGGTTAGGAGAGGATGGAGAACTCGACCCACAACAACAACAGCAGCAGCAACAACAACAGCAGCAACAGCAGCAGCAGCTCTCCTCTCTAGACAATGGCGTCTCCGGTGTGGGGCACCGTGGGTTCCGGTGTCTCATCTGCTCGAAAGTCTTCAAGAAGTCAGGACATCTGACCATCCATATGAAGGTAAATATATAGTGCACATTAGCCCTATCCCTACGCCCTGGGGTCATTTTGTACCCCTGGGGCTGTATTCTTCGCATTTTAGAATACTTCTTGTATGAAGATCACTGGGAAAGTTTCAGTATTTCTCAAAAAATCATTTTGACTGACTGCTATGCTAAGCATGTAGATCGGATTAACGAGTAAATTTCCTCTTTGAATAGTGGCGGCACAGAGTTCCCCACGTCATATGTATGCGATAGTAAAATATGATGTATGGATAGGGTTAAAGCTTATAGAAAGTATAGAATATTAAAGGACCCCTTTCAAAAACTAAATGCTTCTTCCATGCTAGAGTATGGGGTTAATTTTTCAGTTCGGGTTGGTGGTAGTGGAAGTTGTTTGGGAGATTTCAATCTAGAGATAGAGCTGCTTAAAGAAAGAAGCTTGTTGCTTGAGAATATTCCTGTTGCGATTTTTTGTTGTTTAAGATTCTAACCCAACTTCATTCATGCTGACATTGAAAGTGATGATAACAGAAAACTGTATGTTCATAAAACAGCTCTTGTCCAAAGTTGCTGATTGGTTATTTTGGCTTTTTAAAAAGTTTTGATAAGAGTAGGTCATAAAAGTGCCTATGATTAGAGATGTTATAAGAGGGTAATATGCAACCTCAAAAAAAAAAAAGTGGAGGGGAGATAACGATGATAGATATTTGATGGAAAGAAGGAGAATACCACACTTGAATACCTGCCAACCATCTACTTTGTATTTTTTTGCTGACGATGCCTTATAACTGCCCTCGATCTTCCTTCCAGCAACAACACCAGTCAGGGGACGGAACGTTCCAGTGCACAGAGTGCCCTAAATCGTTCTCTTCGGCTCTGGTGCTGAAGAACCACCTCCGCTCCCACACGGGCCGCTCCCACATGTGCCCGCAGTGTAGCGCGGCCTTCACCTCCAGCGTGATGCTGCGCCGACACATGATGCAGCACACCACCAAGAACTACCAGTGCCCCATGTGTAACGAGCAGCTCAAGAATGCCGCACAGCTACGGAGACACCAGAGAGATTGCCAAGGTTAGCAGTTGTGGCTATATTATCTCACAGGTTTTTTTTTTAGTATGAATAAATTATGAATGTTGCAATAGCCCTGGTATCACATGACGGTCACTTCAGGGGAACCCACAGTGTTGAGTTCCTGCATGCTGTCGGCATCGCTGACCGTTTATGAAGCCACAGCGCCAGAAGAGAGAGAGAGAGAGAGAACCCACAGGGAGTACGAGGCAGGGGTAGGCCATGAGAGACATGGATCAGATGTGTGGAAAGGGACATGAGAGAGATGAAGCTCACTTGGAACGAGCTAGGAAGGATGGCCCAGGATAGAGATAAATGGAAAGAGCTTGTATGTGGCCTATACCCTGCCTGGGGTGAAAGGCATTGATGATTGATGAATAGCTCTGGTAATTTGAGAAAAATAGTAAAAAGAGTGGGAGAAAAACTCAGTGGAAGAAATTTACACTTGATATTTCTCTCATGTTTTTGTAGTTACTCTGTTGACATTAGTTGCCTCTGGTCAGGCAGACTGACTCATAAACACAAAATTAAGGGTTTTGAGTGGCACAAATTCGCCCAGATGGGAATGGATGCCTAGCTAACTAATGTCGGTGTGTTATTGATTGAGTGCTTGAAAAATGATAGCTTGCTCTGAATACCTCTCGCAGAGCTGAGAATGTCTCAAGTTGTCATACACCCGTCTCTGTTGAGAAAATAATACATTTTAGCTCATCAACCCGATCTAGGAGTAGGGGTACAAGCTTTAACATGTATGTGTTATTATTATATTCACAATCTGACACCATACAGGGAAGACAAAAACTACATGCTTAACGGTGATTGTCTGAAAATGTACAGAATGTTAATTTTAAACCTTTTTGTTTTGGATGGTGTGGTTGGCCACCTTCTCAATTTACTTCATGAAATTTTATTGACTTTATAATGCTAGTGGTGCCGTAAAACACCTAGTTTCCAGAAAGACATACTGTGCTGACTAATCTTTTATGAATTAAGGAGAAAGTCTACCTTTTAATGGAATAATATTTTAAAGCACTCTATCCTGAAATTTAGATAAATGCATATTATTCAAATATTGAAAAGTCAAACAATTTTCTTTCTCGTAATCACTCATTTGTATCTTCCTAAAACATAATTAGCCAAAAGTATTTGTTGGCTGTGATCTTCGCCTTTATCAGGGAAGTGTCCGTTCATGTAGTCTAATTTAGTAGTACCTGCAATTATTGTGTCCCCCCCCATTGTAGAGTGAATTTTGTTTTAAGGTGCGGTTTGTCCTTTAGTACTGATTTTGTCATCGTCGGACATTGACATAGGAATTTTTATTATTATTATTGTTATTATTATAATTTTTATTTTCATCATTATTATTATTATGATTATTATTATTGGTATCATGTCGTCAGTGAACCCGCCAGTGGTCCAGAATGTGGTGGTCAAACAGAATGACGAGAACCAAGCTCCTAAGCGCTCCTCAGGATCGCGGCGCAGATTACTGCTACAGCAACATTACTTCTCCCCGGAGCAGGTTTCTATTTCGGAGAAGATACTCATGGAGTCTGCCTCGGAGAAAGATCGGATTAGTATGCCAAAGGTTAGTGCAGAGATGAAAAGAAAGAATTGTATGATGTACTCTAATTTAGAGGATGCGGTGGCGGAGCGGTTAGTGCGCTCGTCTCCGAGGTTCGAGCCTCAGTTCGGACACGCTTTTTTTTCCGCCCCCTCCTGCCCACCCAGCAGTAATGGGTACCTGACTTTGAGTTGGGGAAGTAAAGGCGGCGTGGAAAGGAACTGGCCACCCTACCACAATATGCTGAAGGCCCAGGAAGTTGTCTCACTAACAAGGCAATCCCCAATGTCCGGACCGGATGTGGGAACAACTTTTACTCTAATTTGGTCGTAAGTGAAATAGGTGCTTGGGAATAGACACCCTTTAAAAGGGATGTTCAGTACATATTTTGTTTAGAAGTAACGTGCGAGACCTTTGCTTTAGAGTAACCCCCCCCCCCCCCCCCCCCCCCCCCCCCCCAACCTTGATGTGCAGGATCATCTTTAGTTAGTATTATTTTTTCTCTCGATGCGATGATTGCTTTTTAATTAATGTTTTTGGGGGGGGGGTGGGGGGTATTGATCTACCATGCTTGAAGTGAAGCAATTTTTTGTTGTAGCTGTGTACTTGTACTCTGCAGATGTAACTCGTTGTCGTTTCTAAAGCAGTTTTTTATTTGAATTTTCGTCATATGTTTAATCGTGATTTTTGAGAGAAGTAGATCTTACATTGTTGTCCCACTCTATTTTTCTTCAAGGACTTGCAAAATCAGACGGTTCGAAGAGGCCGGTTTGCCAACATGTGCAATCATTGTCCCAAGAGTTTTAAAAAGCCCAGTGATCTACAGCGACATCTTCGGATACACACAGGAGAAAAACCCTTTGTTTGTAATGAGTGCCACAGATCTTTCACCGTCAAGTCTACACTGGATTCTCATATGAGAACTCATAAAGCTGGTATGTTACTAAATTCTTCTCACTTTAGGGAACACTTAATAGGCCGAAGGAACTTTTTTTGACTCAGTATTATTAGTATGTATGCTTGTTGCATGAACCAAAACCTTACATAAAAAAGGTTGAAGGTTGGTGTTGGATGTAAGTTTGGTCTCTGTGTCATGAACTAAAAAATATTCTCAATATTTTCAAAAGGGATATGATTACGGGAGGGGGCTGGGTGGCCATTGGTAGTCGGGTGAATACAAAACATTCATGCACCAATGCACCATGTTGTGCAAAGATGGCAAATTTAAACCCCTTGAAATTGTTCAAAATTGAGATTCTGTTGAGATGCACAAGTACACCTTCAGTGTGACCCTGAGCTGCAATTATAGCTATTTGACCCCAAGTTTTGATACCTGCAAAGTTATCGGGCAGTTTGTTTAGCTTGCTTTGCTGCTCATGAGGAAATTGGTTATTTCAGTAATCTGTTCCTATTTTTACTGATTATCATTTTTACGATGTCGTCTTTGTTGTCAATTATTATATACCAAACCTTCTTCCATATCAAACAACTATCGTTCTTGTCTCCCCATCTCCCTTTTTATGTTTGTTACTCTCTTGTAAACACCTCTAATCTTTGGCACTTATATGACCTTATTGTGTTCCAAGTGCCGTAAAACACTTACTAAAAGTAAACTTTCTAAAACTCACACTTCTCTTTTTGCTTTCAGCTGAGAAGTCATTCCTGTGCCATGTGTGCAACTCCATGTTCTCCACCAAAGGCAGCCTCAAGGTGCACATGCGCCTGCACACAGGCGCCAAACCCTTCAAATGTCTCCACTGTGACCTACGCTTCAGGACCTCAGGGCACAGGAAGTCTCACATGGCTGCACACTTTAGACGTGAGTGCAGCGTAGAAGTCATGTCTCGTGGTCTGTGTAGACATTGTCTTTTGTTTCTTGGGACTGAAAAGGACTACCTGCATGTTTTGGAGCTCCTTTTTTCTTTTGTTATCCCTATCCGTATGTTGTATTTTACTATCGTATCCATCCGAAGTGGGGAACTCTGTGCCTCCACTTTCCAAAAAGGAAAATTACTCGTTAATCCGATCTGCACGCTTTGCATAGCAGTCTGTCAAAATGATTAAAAAGATCTTCGTACTAGAAGTATTCTAAAATTTGAAGAATACAACCCTGGGGGTACAAAATGACCCCAGGGCGTACGGATAGGGTTATACATTTCAGTAGGATGTCAGTTGGCAGAAAGTTACACTTGGTACTGGAAATGAAAAACCCTGAATCGTTTGTTTGTAAAAATTATATTACTGCAGATGTTTTATTATTTCAAATTATTATTCCTATTGCCAGTTCCGCACTAAAATGTTCCAAAAAAGTGTGATAAAATTTAATTTTGCCACTATTCTAAGTAGGGAGCAAAGTAGCGGAACCAACTAGTTTTTCATGTTTACGAAACTCAGCTTTGGTTTTTTCAGCCGAGGCGACGACGAAGAAGAAGGCGCCTAAAGCTGCGGCCCCTCAGCCTCTGTTACAGACCTCACAGGACAACGCTGCTGTTCAGCCCCAGATGTTTATCCTGACCGGCGGCCAGCAAAACAATACACAAGTGACCAGCACAGTGACAAACCCGGTCAGTGATTTGGTAGTACTTCTATTTAACTAACTCGTGCTGTTGAGTTGTTCTGTGTTTTCACATGAAAGCTAAGGCTTATTCAATGAAAGCGTTTTTCACATCTGTAAAATGAAAAGCTTTACTTTATCTGAGCCGAGGAGAGTCTTTCCTGCACTAGTTTTAAATGAATTAAAAATAAACCTTTATAGGAATAGGCTGATCACATAAATGCTATCCAGTGCTGGGGAAAAAAGCAAAAGGACCAACGACAAACAGAAACAACAAAACGTTAATAATGATAGAGTACCTACCAATGGTACCCTCCCACTGCCTCTGTGGATGCAAAGTGGACATTAATTCCCAAGAGATAATCACATCAGTCGTATTTAATCATTGTTATAGGCATAGCTGCCACTTTTCCGCTAAATAGCGGAAACTCCGCTTCATCTAGCTTTTCCCCCAACGTTCCTCCTTCCTCCGCTGGACCGCTCTTGGTCGCAAATTTCATACTTTTTTTCCTGCGGAAAACACCGAACCGGGAGAGAGACGAAAACGCGGCTTGCGCATGTCCGCCCGTAGCTTTCTACTTCCGTTCTTCTAGGCCCAGTGCTAGTTTCACAGTGTTTATTGTTGTGGAGCAGCACAGTGTCGATCGGGCATCGGGACGTTAGCGCGCCGAGTTGTCATTGAAATTGGCGGAAATTCGAGAGAAAAATTGATGCAGAATGCAAAAATAAAAGGAGCTGGAATGAGAAAGAAGCAGCTGGTGTGCAACTTGAAAAGTTCATTAGAAAATTGAACTAGCTGTTTTTTGCGAAAGAAATCGCGGCCCGCGGCAATCCTGTACCATTGCGGTCCTGTTTGTTTACATGACGGCTATTGTGGCTGCTGTGGAAGTGAATCTAGATCTAGATCTAGAAAATCTATCTCTAGATATAATCTTGATCTACACATATTTAGATATATCTAGATTAGATAGCCTAGGCTATAATTTTAATTCAGTTTAGATATCTAAATAAGAAACACACTACAGGGGCACTAAATGCAAACGGGACCGCAATTGTACAGGAGTGCCTGCATCCTTGATCCGATACTGCTCTACGTCTATGTACAAGTTTAAAGTGAAAGAAATCTCTTTATGAGACACCAGCTGGCAAAAAACACTGGATTTTTAGTCACCAAATCCAAACCGTGTCAAATTTACTCGAATGCTTGTTAGTCAACTTACTGCCTTTATGGTTGTTTTTTTATTTTTTAAATACATTTTAATTCAGTTGCCTATGGTTAACAATATGACAGTTTTCCCTTCCAAAATCGTAGGCTAGATTTTCCAGTATATATTGCCTCTGGATCTCACTGGTTTCGGAGAGCGCGCGTACGCCTTCGCGTGAATTTCCTCCTTTTAAAAAATTTCTGAGTGGCAGCTATGTGTGGGTGATTGCTGTGTGCTTTGGTGTGGTGTGCTACTTCTTTCTAAACAAACATGCATTGTCCGCCTTTCTCCTCCTTTTTATGTATTTGTTACTCTCTTGTAATTCGTGTTATCTTTGCCCTTATATGACTTAATTGTGTTGCAAGTACATCAAAATTCTCGCTACCCCCTGGGGCAGTGCCACTGACTGTAGTGTCTTTAGGCCATTCTCAAAGGGGGGACATTTCTCGTTCAAGCACAGTAGAATTGTAAATGGGCTGATTCATGTCACGCTCATAACTGTGCCTGATCCGCAACATGGAACGGCTGCTTTTTCTTTCCTAATCATTACTATTGTCATTTTCCTCTACTTCTTTTGTATGTTTGTCACTCTCATGTGACCCGCTATTTGCGGGGTGCCTTGATAGTCGAAGCAGACCTTGTGCTGTTGAAGCTAGAGAGGTGAGCAGAGTAAGTCTGGTTCCCTGTAAGGACTTCTCTGTTGACACTCACCCCTTGGCGCTCATATGACGTTATGCAGTTGCAAGCGTAAAACCCTCTACTAAAACTAAACTCTCTCTCTCCCCCTGCACCGACCCGACAACCCCCCCCCTGAACACCACAGCTGTGTATGCACCATCACCACGCACCACCAGTCTGACCCACACTTTGGGTGCCAAACGGCTCAGAACTGGCATTGTCATCTTGGCTCTTATATGACTTAATTGTGTTGCAAGTACGGCAAAATTCTCACTAAAACAATTTTTAAAATCCACAATCATTGCTAACTTCAGGTTCTTGCGGTGGAGCAGCAGCCTTTGGCCACACAAGTCATGGGCGTGGAGCAGCCGGCCGTGGGCTCTCAGGTGATCAGTGTGGAGCAGCCTCTGTTGTCCGGCCAGGCCATGATGCCCGTACAACTGGCAGTCAACGACGCTGGCGCAGCTGCCAACGCCGGCCCGCAAGGACTGCCCACACAGGTGCGTGTACTCTCAGTGTCATTTGTGACTTAACTTTTTTAACCCTCTTGGTGGGTGGTTGGCGGGTGCTCTTGTGTGGTGAGCTCCTTCTTTCCTATCAAACATGTATCGTCAATATCTCTCCTTCTTTTTTATGTTTACTACTCGCTTAATCCCAGCGGAAACATCACAAGACAGTCACTGCAGTGGAACCCACAGGGAGCTCGAGGCAGGGGTAGGCCACGAGAAACATGGATGAGATGTGTGGAAAGGGACATGAGAGAGATGAAGCTCACTTGGAATGAGCTAGGAAGGATGGCCCTGGACAGAGATAAATGGAAGGAGCTTGAATGTGGCCTATACCCTGCCAGGGGTGAAAGGCTCTGATGATGATGATGACTCGCTTAATAACACCTGTAATCTTTGGAACTTATATGACTTAATTGCGTTGCAATTGCCGCAAAACTCACTAAAAGACTTGAGCATAACTTAATTCTTGGCTGTTACTGTGTTCTCAGGTTCTCCAAGGTCTGGACAGTGGCATCCAGCTGCACATCACCGCACCTCTCAACCAGCTGGGCCAGAGCTTCCAGCTGTCTGGCCTTGACCCTGGACTGCTACAGCAAGCAGTTAGTAACATTTTTTTCCATCTCAAATGTTCATTAAATTTTGTATGTGAACTACTTACCATCTTTATATATATATGTGAGAGAAGGACAATTTATAGAAGAGGATGATTTGCATCAAAAGGGAATCCTGAAAATCATGACTTGCTTAATGTAGTAGGTCAGAGTGTTGGTGTCTTTTAGATTTTTGTCAGTGTTTTTGGTTTGTGTTTAATTTGAACTTTCTTTAGCTTTGTTATCTCAGGTGTGACTTAATATTTGTTTCATTATGATAAATTTCTTTTGACCTTCTTTACAATCTAGGTCCAGATTGACGCCTCAGTGTTCCAGCAGCTTCAGCAGAACGGTTTCATCACCATAAACCCCAGCGGCATCCAGCCGACCTTGACAGCTGACCTCTCCCAAGTAGGCGTGGAATTGGCGGCCCAGGGAGGCGTGGTCGTCTCGTCAGCCCTGCCGGTGAACTCGGACAATCTGATTGGTCAGAGCATGTCCAACCCTGACGCCATGATGACTACGCAGACTTTACAATCGGTGGATGGTGAGGATTGGTTGTTGCTGCGGGAAGCTCCTGTTAAATTAACTTTTTGTCAGCCGGAACTCAGAGCAATATTTCCCAAAATATCGATGCAGAATTTAGTAGTTGAATGGCCCAAGTTGTGTTGGAACTTTGCTCGCATGTGTTATTTCAACTATCATGGGAGTAGTATCGATTTGGCATTCCAACTTGAGACATATATATATGGACACCGCAGGAAAATTCTTTAGTCAGCTTGGCAGTCGCCGTGGTGATTTGTCGCAGATCCCAATTTTTTTTCAACAAATCACTGTTTTCCCCCCTGAGATCCTGGTTTTTAGATTTTAAAGAGTGGCAGGTCTGATTATTAAACGAAATTTGGTGATATTCATTGATTGTGTTGCTTGCGTCAAGGTGAGGTTACATTTCATTAAATAACTTTTTTTCACCAGCCTTTGCTGTCTCTGACTAACATTTTAAAATTCCTCTTTAAAAGACCTTTCCAATGACATTATAAAATACATAATCCTTTGATAAATTTCACCCCCCCCCCCCAACCCCCCCCAAACAAAACCACCATTGGGAAAGTGGGAAACCTGTAGGTCCTCACCTTGAAATCCGACACAACCCAGGCATTGTTTTGTTGACATCTCAGCAACAACTAACTTTTTACTAAAGAGTGTGTGATAATTGGGTGTTCCCCAACCGGTTGTTTGTTGTAGTTCTCTCAGCGTGGGTGGTTGGCGGGTGCTCTGGTGTAGTTTGCTCCTTCTTTCCTATTAAACATCTATCGTCTTTATCTCCCCTCCTTTTTTGTGTTTGTTACTCCCTTGTAACACCTCTAATCTTCGGCACTTATGTCATGACCTTGTTGTGTTTCAAGTTCCGTAAAACACTTACTAAAACTAAAATCATCATTTTTGTCATCACGGAGCTCTGTGTAGGGTGTTCCCCAACTGGTTGTTCATTGTTGTTTGTTTCTCTCCCCCCCCCCTCAGGTTCACAAACTACGGAAGGTCTGATGGGACAAGGTGTCCCGGCGGCCTCGGATGGCCTCATCATCCAGATGCGTAACTCGGAGGGTCTGCTGGTGCACCAGTCCCAGCCGGGCATCTCGGTCCAGGCGGACAGCCTGTTTGTCCCCACGGCCTCGGCCGGCTCAGTGGTCAGTGGTCAGCACCTGGAGAGCAGACAGTCCTCCCAGGAGATCCTCTCTCTGCCTGTTCACACCTCGGCTCAGGTGAATGCTTTGTCTCTTCCGGCCGTACTGAACGGTCAAGCGTAAACGTTTTCTGAATTCTATTCGAATGTCTGTCTTCTTAACCCTATCCGTAGGCCCTGGGGGCATTTTTTACCCCCGGGGTTGTATTCTTCACATTTTAGAATACTTCTAGTACGAAGATCTCTTTGAAACTTTCAGTATTTCTCATTTTGACAGACTGCTATGCAAAGCATACAGATCGGATTTACGAGTAAATTTCCTCTTTGGAAAGTGGTGGCACAGAGTTCCCCACGTCGTATGGATACAATAGTAAAACATGACGTACGGATAGGGTTAATTACTTAACAATGTAGGAAGTGGCATTAAACTCGCACACGTAGCGTTAAACAAGCAGATGGGTTGTTGTTGTTGTTTTCAAATCCCTTTAGCTGCAAGCATTTCGCTCTGGCAGCGCAATGCCTCCCTCAAGTAACCACATGTCCTTGTCATCTGGTCAACGCCAGAGTAGAGCAGGCTTTGTAAGCCTGTAGGTGTGTGTAGGAGTTTGCGTTGAAGAACTGCCAGGTTTGGGCAGTGAACGTCACCTCTGTAGTCTCCTCCTTCAACGGCTTGGAGTACTGACATTGAGTCAGAGAAGACAACAACATCCCCTGGTGTTACTGCGCCTTCCAAAAAGTCTTGGGTGATTTGCTCCAGGGTCTTTACTATGGCGATTCTCTCTGCGTCATAGTTAGAGCTGTATGTTCCACATGGGCCAAATGGTTGGGTCTGCTTCTTCTCTCCAGGGTTGTTTCGATATTTGATGGTAGATCCGTATCGAGCATTGAAAGCAGATGGGTAATTTTTATCCCTTTCTCAATTCTCAGATCTAAAAAGTGCAAGTACTACGTTTGCATTTATATGTATGCCATCTATAACTTATATTGTAACCAGAACTTTTCTCAAAAGATGGCTAAGGACCTAGTTGTTGTCTCTGAGGTATATTTTTTAATTTGAATTGAGGTTTAGACTTAGAGTTTTTTTAACGGGACTTTCTTTTTATCAGATTCATGTTTAAAAAAATGATATATGGACCTGACATTGACTTTTATGATAAAGCTATTTTTGAGTAGATGTGGTCCAAAATTCCTAATAAAGTATATGATGTAGGCTGGATAAACCCAACAGTGTACTGGAAGATGGAGAAATTTGTATTATTAGATCGAAAAAGAAAACCAGAGTAGAATTATTGTGAAAATTGTCAAGGCTTTTGCTTTTAGCTGTGGATCTATACAACATCAACGTAACAACAACACATTTTTGGCTACGTTTGCTTGCTGCCTGTGCTTCTTGTTAAGGCTTTGTTGAAGGCTGACCTGGCTGTTACGAAGAGTTGCAGTTGGATATCCCCATGGGTGATCTTTTCACCAGTTGTAAGGAATGCAAATTTTAAACGTGATTTGGAAGCTGAGCATAATGATTCTAATAAATATGGACTGCTTAGTGTAAGACTCCACCATACGCCATTTAGCCCCTCCAGCCCCATGCACGTATATTTTCAGCAGCTCTTGTACCTCCCACTGTCCCAAGAGCCTATATTCTCAGTTTAGGGGGTACTGAATTTGCGCATTTTTCGAAATTAACAAACCTAATTAAATGTTAATTTTCATAATATTTGTTCATTTACTTTTAAAGATTGTTATATGTTATTATCTAAACCTCATAACATCACTTTTTTTAATGCATGCCTCTTTTTCTGAAATACTACTGTATTGGCTGGGACTGGGGTTTGGGAGTGCAAAAAAATGGCTGGGGCTGGAAGGGTTAAAAAGGTTAAAAAGTGATGTATGATAGAGTTTAACGATAAGGAGAGTGTAGGTGTCCATGTGAGCTGCCGTTAGCTGAAGTCACTCTTATGTTCTCGGATTTGCATTTTTCCAGTTTTGTTTGTGTCCTCGGTGGCGGAAAGCTCTTTTTCGTGGGTAAGGCGGGTGCTCTGGTGTGGTTTGCTTCTGCTTTCCTATCAAACATCTATCTTCCTTATCTCCCCTACTTCTTTTTTATGTTTGTTACTCTCTTGTAACAGCTCTAATCTTCTGGTGCTCATATGACCTTATGCAGTTGCGAGCGCCGTAAAACTTCTACTAAAACAAGAAAAGCTCTTCTCCTGACACAAATTGTATGAGATGGCCTTATTCTAGGTTCAAATGTGTTCTAAAACAAATTGTATCGGTAGCCTCCTTATTTTGGGTTCGGCATATTTCATGAAGCACGTCATGCTATGTTTTGGTTTTGACTTGGTTCTAATTAGATCTTCATTGTGCGTTTTCTCAGGTGATGACCCCTCACAGAGTCTCTGACGCCCTCCTCGGTCAGCCGTCGCCCAGAATGCACACCAGTGCCACAGACTCTCTGTTGGGTCAGTCGGTGCACACCTCTCAGGACAACTACCTGAGCCAGGGGGCGGGGCAGGTGTCCGACGCTATGCTGGGCCAGGACAGGCTCATTGCCACTAGCATGTCGGTGTCGGACTCTCTGATTGGCCGACAGCTGTCTCACGGCATCGTGACCAGCGACGCTGTGATGGGCAGTGCAGGAGAGCACACCATTCTACAGGGAATCCAGCTGCAGGTAAATCATTGCTGGATTTTTTTTTTCTCTATGAAAATATGATATATTAAATTTTGAACTACAAAGATTTCACAAATCACCGACATAATAAAACACTTACTAAAAATATAATGACACCATCCAAGATGTCTGCCTAAGACAACCACTTTTGTTTAGGGCTTCTTCTTCTTCCTTGTTCTCGATGACGGTAGCTAGACCGTCAGTCCGGCACAAACTGTGCAGTCCACTTCAAATCTGAGAGACTGCCATAGAGCTTTCTCTCAAGAGGGGTCACATTCTGCCACGTCTTTGTACGAAGGGTCGCACAGCGCAAGCAGTGCTGAAGGATATGGTTGGCATCCTCTTGGTCGTGTCCACATTTGCAGATCGCGGACTTTGCTACTTTTAATTTAGCGTGCATATGGTGTTTGAGTGTTGTGGCCACAATGGAGTCGGAAAGATTGTGACCTGGTCTGCTCTATTTAGCATGTAGTAAGAGTCACGTCTGTTGTGACTAGGGTGGGATCTTTTCCATCCGTTTCTTATTGCAGATTTTAGTAGCGTTTCTCTATGACAATTTCAGCTATTTTCCAAATTTCTGTTTGAAATATATGGCATGCCAGTTTGTTTTTTAAATATTTGGTAGGTGTGGTGACATTTTGTTTTGAGTTTGAAATGTTTTTTTAATGTACAATTAATTGGAAATTGCAGGGAGAGTAGTAGTCTTCTGTGATTGTTTTGTGAAAATATCGCCATCTATTTGCCATCAGTGTGGCTGTTGGCAGGTGCTCTGGTGTGGTTTGCTACTTCTTTCCCATCAAACATCTATAGGTGTATCTCTCATCCCCCTTTAGTTTTGTACTCTCTAGTAACTACTAAAACTAAATTCACCATCAACAATAATGTGTAGAGCTCTTGTTCAATGTTGTCTTAATCATCCCACCTCTCCCACTCCCATCTTCATCCAACTTGGGGGTGATGTGGGGGGAGGGGGGGGGGGGATTATTGTTTTATGAATTTTACCCAAGAGGTGACCCTCAACTTCATAGTTAAACTTGACTCCCTGTTTTAAGTTGTGACTGGTTCCTAGCTTATGAAGATCTAGTCCTGTCCACCTATGTATTAAGGAAATTAGTTTAGTTAATCTCTGTACTTTGTCTGAAGCTTAACAGTATGTTGATGTTAGGCAAGAAGCTACTATTTTTATTTCTATTGAGAAACTGCAGATTTTGAATGTTTTGTCTAAACTTTGGACTGGTCTCTCCACAGCCGGCCTGCATGTCTGATGGTGTAAATCCAAACGTGATTGTTCAGTCGATGGAGGATCTGCAAGGTCACCAAGGGGTGAAGGGTCAGGAGTCGGAGAGTACAGCCTATGTCACAGTGGATGGACAGGTAAACACAAAGCTGATGTGTGTGTATGTGTGTGTGTGTGTGTGTGTGTGTGTGTGTGTGTGTGTGTGTGTGTGTGTGTGTGTGTGTGTGTCCCCCTGAGCTTATGCAGATTCATCTAAGAAATAGCCTTTTTACGGATTGTATAACAGTGCTTTCACAGTGTCTGTCTCTCATGTGTTTTGCCTCTAATTTGTCTTTGCAGCGTTTGGCAGTCCAATCTGTGAACATCCACCCCAACTCAGGCACAAGTCTGGGTCTTGTGAAGATGGAAGAAGTTGAAGAGGAAGACCAAAAATTTACCCTCTCTGGAGATGATGCCCGCATGGTTCACATTACACAATTGGTGAATATGTTTCTACTGTTTTTGCTGTTGGTTGTGATAGTATGACCTTTAAAGAAATGTGCTTGAAAAAAAAAACTTGATAAAAAAAAATTAAATAAAAAAGGGGCAGAATTTTATAATTCCCCCCCTTGTCTTTTGCAAAAGAAGCTTATTTTCACACAGTTGCAAATATCCTCGATGAGTGTCTTGGATTTTGTGAAAAAGTAGTGTCTTTCAGCATTATGATATTGACATTTTTTTTCCCCGCTCTAGGACCAGAATCCAAGCATGGGTCACCATGGTAACCCGCTAGATGATGATGAAGAAGATGAGGACCAGGAAGAAGTCGACACAAACGCTCTCATCCCTACGGCTGAGGTGGTGAACCTGGCTGAGCAGCAGCAGGAGGGTACAGAGCGACAGCATATCTGTGGGGTATGTATAGTGTGTTAGTGTGGGTGTGTGTGTGTGCGTGTGGATGTGTGCGTGTGGATGTGTGCGTGTGTGTGTGTGTGTGCGTGTGTGTGTGTGTGTGTGCGCGTGTGTGTGTGTGCGTGTGTGCGTGTGTGGGTGTGTGTGTGTGTGGATGTGTGTGTGTATGTGCGTGTGGGTGTGTGTGCGTGTGGGTGCGTGCGTGTGGATGTGTGTGTGTGTGCGTGTGTGTGTGTGCGTGTGGGTGTGTCGGCGAACGTGCAGTCGGGACATGTTGGAGAGTGCTGGAATGGGATAGGAAATAGGTGAAAAAATAACTTTTGGGCTGAGGCTTGCTCTATTGAAATGTTTTCATATCCGAACTTTGTGATGATGAAAGTTTGAAAGCTTTCTTGTGCTAACTATCCAGGAACGACATTCCTTACTATTTGAAATAGATTTTACACAATGTTACATATTTTCCCCTGTGGGTGGTTGCTGGATACTCTTGTGTGGTTTGCTTCTTCTTTCTGATCAAATATCTATCGTCCTTATCTCTTCTCTTACTTTAATTTTATGTTACAATCTGGTTGCACCACTTATCTTTGGTACTAATATGACTTAACTGGATTGCAATGGCTGTAAAACTCTTTCTAAAACGTTTTTCCCTGATCCCACAGATCTGCTACAAAGGCTTCAAGCGCGCAGCTCACCTCCGAGAACATATGCACACTCACGGCCCGGGCCCGGTGGCCAAGAAGCCCAAGGCCACGCCCCATCGGTGCAACGTGTGCCAGAAAGCCTTTCAGAAGCCGAGTCAGGTGGAGAGGCACATGAGGATACACACAGGTGAGTGATAAGTTGCGGTCACGTCAAAATCTGACCCTTTAGGTTTTCCGAAACAGGTGAAAATAGGGGAAGAACCAGTGGAGTCACATTTTGAAAATTATTTCTGGTTATATCCTACGGAGGTTGCATGATAGTACTGCTTTATTATAACGTAACACTGTCTTTGTGGACCAATGAAAGGCCTTTGACAGAGTACACCAAGACAGATTGCGGACAGTGCAGGAAGAATACGCAATCTGGAAATCATTGTGGCACTCTACAGTGAAGTCCACTTATAATGAGTCTTGAAATAACGAGAAGTCTGTTATAAAGACACTATTCTAAAACCCTGTTTTCTGTACTTATTTATCTTTGTAAATAAAATACTGCTATAGCGCAATCTGACAAACACGCGAGTCGGTTATAGCCGAATATTGCTGCTGCTGTGCACAGCCCATAGGCCAATTATGAATATTTATTAACTTCGCCAGTTGAGAAACTTGTTGGTGATCTAACGAAAAAAGGAATGGAAGAGCCCACGTGTGCCAACAAGGCCGGAGCGAATGAGTGGGGAGGTTGTGGCATGCACAGACAAGCAGGGCCAGCCTAGTTTAGATTATCTAGACCTACCATGTCTCTCACTTCTCCGATGCGGGGATGGAGAGGTCACAGTGGTGTGATGGATAGAGCGAATATGTGACGTAGGCTGGGTGTGGTGTTGTGTACCACTTGTGCGCAAACAAACGGAACGCACCACAGAGTGTAGTAGGGTGGGGAACAACACAGCAGGCGAGTTGGCCTAGAACCCTTGCTTTCGGATCGCCAATGCCGAGCTGTCAACATTGCTAACGTTAGAGAAAGAAACCTGATTTGAGTTTTGATCAAGTAAGACATAGAGTTCTTGTTGAACAAAATCATCATCAGGGGAGATAATAAAAAGAAATAAACGGAACACCAAACTCAGAGATTTGGCCTACTTTCCTTTGATTTTATTACTGTATCCCTTATAATGAGAGTCCTACTATAACGGACATTTCGCTCCAGTCCCCTCCCTCTCGTTACGACAGGATTCCACTGTTTGATAATGGCAAAACAATAGTAAAGACTCCACTTGGAAAAGCACAATAGTCCAAGTAAGATCAGGAGTAAAACAAGGATGTGCTTTATCCCTTTAACTCTTTTTAATATATATGTGGACAAAATAACAGCAAAAGCTAAACCAGAAAACACGATCAGTAAGCTTCTGTTTGCCTGTGATCAGAGCATACTAAGCGACGACGAAAAGACACTGAACAAAAGCTGCAAAGATCACAACATGAAGATCAGCACGAGCAAAACGGAGGCAATGAAAATCATCAAAACACCAGACCCACTCAACATGAGAGTCGACATCAGCAAAGTCATGCAAGTTGAAGAGTTCAAATGCACCATTCAAAAGGCGGAACTTGACATGACCTTCTTAATGTCTTTTGAAAGGTTGTGCTAAGTGTACCCAAAGATAGTACATAATAAGATGGTCCACTCAGCCAAAAAAGTGTCCGCCGGAAGTCCGCTCTTTGCTTCAGATGGCGCTGCAGTCTGTTTTGAAGCTCTCTTTCGTTTTCCGGAAGAAGAATAGGAATAGCACCTCCTTGCGTTCGCAGATTGACTGCTGTTCATCAGCAGTTTGGGTTCGTTCAGTGCAGAGTTTTAGTTAAAAAAATTTTTTAATGACCTCTCGCCTTTCATTCTAAAGTCAAATTAAACGAAGAAAACAATAACCCGGAAGAGGTTTTTTGTCAGCATAACCATTTTAAAAAAGTGTTCTTCCGAAATTTATCCAAAAACTTGCTAGTTTCACTTTGATTTTTTAAACTCAAGTAGGGTAACTCTGTTTGCAAAGGGTGCGCATTTGCGAAGAGGGCGCCACCGAATTTTGAGGACACTTTTTAAATTGACTCAAAGAGAGGAGTGGCCCCTCTTGTTATGTAGACTCTTTGGTGTACCTTATGATAAAGGGCAAGGGTCTGTGAGACAATGAATCGTTATCTTTTTTTTGGTAAATTCTCACAGACTGTTGAGAGTTTGAAATGTGTTTGAACGTTCTGATTTCTTTACATTCATAAGTGACCACGCATATTTCCGATACAAAACTAAGAATAAATGTTTTAGCAGTCATTGTCTTTATTCGACACAAGTAATTCATCTCCACCCATGTATTCACACAGTTTTGTGGGCCTAAAAAAAATAAAAATCGCATATCTTTCTTGGCTGTATGCAGGCTGCCACAGACGCAGCATAATTCATAGACAAATGCAGAGTACCTTTCTCTTGTGTACTAAATGGTAAAGCATTTATTACTACCCGCGCAGATTTAAGATTTCTCGTGGTAACAGACATGATACTCGTAGTCAGTTTACCACTGATTTTGGAGAGATCTGTCAAGCCATTTTTAAGTAATCAATAATTTATTCATAAGTATCTATCTGAAATAGAACAAATTGGGTACCCTACAAACACTTGTCTAGAGCAAAAACTAAGGCACTGAAATTAACCATTCTAACACAGAGTAAATCTCAAGACATTGAGCTTTTAGTACATCAGTGTAATGGTTTGCTGTGTGAGGTGGGAAAGAAGTTATATCGTTTCAAACATAGATAAAAATGCGAAATTCTTAACGAACACTGCCAAAGTAGCTTCAGGACTCATAAAATGTGTGACCCCTGAGCAGGGAAGCGCCGGCGAGCTGCTTAGTCCCGCTAACTAAAAGTAACAGAATTGGGCGAAAAGTGACGCCTTGTTGTATTTCCAGGTGAGCGCCCCTTCACCTGCAACATCTGCTCCAAGGCCTTCAACCAGAAGAATGCGCTGCAGGTACACCTGCGCAAGCACAGCGGGGAGAAGCCACACGCCTGCCAGTACTGCACGGCCAGTTTTGTGCAGAGTGGAAACCTCAAGACACACATCAAGAGGGCCCACCACGCCGACATGGTCAGCTCCATGAATCTGGCCCGCTCTGCTGCCGGGGCCGGGCCCTCTACCAGCTCCACCGGTGCCGCAGAGTTCCCGGGGAGGAGCGAGCAGGGGATGGGCGAGGGTCAGGGTGGAATGGGTTCAGAGGTCAGCGTAGGGGTCGCTGGGGTTATGGAGGCGGAGGGTATGGATTTGGCGGAGGTGGTTGACCTCTTTGCTCACTGAGCAGTTTCCCGGTGGGTTGATGAAGGTGGATGCGTGTAGACAGAGTGTGTTCGTGGTGTGTGCTCGACTTCTTTGCTCACTGAGCAGTTTTCCCGGTGGGTTGAAGGTGAATACGTGTAGACAGTGAGTGTGTGGTGTGTGCATGAAAGTGCATGGATGTATGTGTGTACATACATTTGCTTTTTCTCATTGATACTCTGATGTTGTACATATGAAACCACTTGTGTGCTTGTTACGTGTGAGTGTAATTTATGCACGTTTGCGAATACTTGAATGCTTACAAATGCACACACTGAATTGTTTTACTGTATTGATGTCTCACTGATATCTTTATGCTCATGCCAGCCATGTAATGATATACAGGGAATGTGTACACAGTGATGTGTGTGTTCAAAGTTTCTGCTGAGAGAATGGGATATGGTGCTCACTGAGTGTTCCTGATTGCAGTCAGATATTTTAAATTTAGCTTCCTCCAAATCTGCTAGCCTGTACCATGCTCAATAACCTTTGTGAATCTGATAGAAAATGAATTTGTCGTGCGAGAACAGACATTTTTCACCTCTGAAATTTAGGGATATGGGTACCTAAAAAGAGGTAAGGGGTTTAATTGTTATCAAATGATAATGATTATGTTTCACCACTTCATGAGAAACCAGTTAAATTATGGTGTCCTTATGTCGAAAAGTGATTTTTGTCAAAACCTCCTGTTTCGATACTTCAGCTATTGCCCTCAATACATACAGTGTCACACACACACAAAAAAAAAATATATATGTGTGTGTGTGTGTATATATAGCATTGCTATTTTATTGGCAAGTTTTCTCCAGAAGCACAGGTTTTTTTATGGCAAGTCCAGCATATGTGTCATGACGCGATGAAATCAGGCTCTTGTCAATTTTGAGGCATGTTGAGTTATTGGTATCATCTTAAAGCTTGTGTTCATTTGTCTTGCTTTGGATGAAAAAAATATCCATTTATCTTGAATAGAAGTTGAGATATTTGCGAATGAAAGAGATTGGGGATCACCTAGTTTCAGAGGTAAAAATTATTGAGAAAATGGCCGCTGAAGATTAGTTATTTCCTTAGCTTGAGAGTTCGTGGAAACTGAAAATTAACATTTTTGGTGCCTTTAACCAACATTTTTCAGAAAAATCCACAAAGAAATGTGTTAATAGGCGTGAAAGGTGTTAAGCCGAAAAACAAAAATTCGATGAAAATTCGCAAACCCTTGGAAAAATGCCAGTTTCTTCACTTTGATTATTTTGACAAACGCCTGATTTCACCATGTCGAGCCACGTATGATCCTCATTAGGACAGATGAATATGATTGAACAATTTATACTGCTTTGTCTGTTTAGCATGCTGTATATTTGTAAATTGTTTCTGTACAATTTTGTAGCTGTACAAATGGTTTTCAGTTCTGTAAGTAAATGTAAGATATGGAGGAGAAGAAATGTTTTTCCTACCCGTTTAGCTGTGATCTATGTGACCATTTGATCTCAAGATGACAATGCCAGTTCTGAGCCGTGTGGCACCCACAGTGTGGGTTAGTAGACTGGTGGTGTGTGGTGATGGTGCATACACAGCTGTGGTGTTCAGGAGGGGGGGTTGTCGGTGTCGGGTCGGTGCACGGGGAGAGAGAGAGTTTTAGTTTTAGTAGAGGGTTTTACGGCGCTTGCAACTGCATAAGGTCATATGAGCGCCAAGGGGTGGGTGTCAACAGAGAAGTCCTTAGACGGAATCAGACTTACTCTGCTCACCTCTCTAGCTTCAACAGCAGGTAGGTAAAGGGTTCAAGTGTCGCTTCTTGCACAGAAGTTTCTTGTTTTTTGGCCTGTTTTATGAACTTTTATGGCCATGAATTACACAGCTTTAAATGACTGACAATTAAACAATGTCATTTGATATTGCACAGTTTTAAATATATCTATTTGTTTGATGGATATTATATTTTCCTAGTTAAAACATTTTAGGACGAACTCAATATAGTTGGTAACATGGGTTTTTAGCTGATGGACATATTTTGTTGATTTATAATGTGTTAGAAGTGACATGTTTTATGACACTGTCCGCCATCCGTGCTGTGGCAAGTGCTTTGCTCTGTCACTACTGCACTGCTTTCTCATTCCTTTGTTTCTTTTTTACTTTGATAAATTCCAAACACAGATCTGAGAGAGAGACTTCTAAAAGACAACTTTTACTTTTTATGATAGTGGCTCACTCAGATGGCCGCTGGATCAGAAAGGTAAAGTATGATGTCTGTGGCTTCTCTTGCAAAACTAAGGGGGATGGCAGAAAAGTCTTAGGTAACGCAACGTCCCAAGTCAAACTGTTTTTGTGAACTCATTTGGGTGTAGGCCAGGTGGTTTGAATTGTGGGAACAGTGGCAAAGCGATCCTACACAGTTGAGAAATGTTGAATGAGCTTATTTAAGGATACTTTTTTGTTTATAGTAGAGGTTTTACGGCTCTCGCAACTGCGTAAGGTCATATGAACGCCAAATTTAAGGATAAGGATAGTGAAGAAAAAGCGATTGAAAGTAGCCCTGATGATGATGGCATTTAGACAAGTGAGATAGAGGGGGCAGTCGTTGTGATGGTAGTGACAGAGGTGAAAGTTTGGAATTGTTTCCTCAGCTTAGTAGGGGCCTGCCTCCTCAAAGACACACTGTGCAGGGGATAGATCCACACTTTTGAGATGGGTGGGTGCTGGTCAAAGAGCTGCCTGGTCTTGTTACTGGTCAATGTAAATAAACAAGAAAAAGGATTGAGAGAAAAATCTAATAATACGCCGTAAACTGAGACTGATACAGGAGTTTCACAGATAATTCTTAATAAGTGTTGCACTTTTTACTGTTGTGCCCTGGCATACAAGGTTAAGCTGAAAAGTTGCAATATCAACTTGGACAAGGCAAGGGGAAGCACTCCTGGCAAATTTGCATGGTAGGTAAAGGGTTCAAGTGTCGCTCCTTGCTCAGAAGTTTCTTGTTTTATGGCCTGTTTTATGAACTTTTATGGCCATGAATTACACAGCTTTAAATGACTGACAATTAAACAATGTCATTTGATATTGCACAGTTTTAAATATATTTATTTGTTTGATCGATATTATATTTTCCTAGTTAAGACATTTTAGGACGAACTCATTTATTGCTGGAAAGAGGGTATGACTGCGTAGCAGAATGGTAGTTCCAAAGGGACATCAAATCCTCAGGAAGGTGCTGGCAATGTTGGTGAGGGGCCAATTTGAATACAGTTTGTAATTGCATACAGTGATGACTGTACTCATAGTAATTATGATAAATGTACCCCCCTAGCTTTCTGTGATATAAAGAGATTAAGAAAATATGAGGCTTTGCTAGTCGTTCTTCGTTTACACAAGGAGTTTGAGAATGGATCGGTTTACTCTAAAAAGTTTACGAACTCTGTATTCATGCAAAAAATCATTTCTTTGAGATGAAAATTATTATTTTTTGTTTTTGCTCTCAAATGTACATAAGTCTGGAGATACGAATATGATAAAGTAAAAAAAAAAAATGGTTTGTCGAGGATGTTTTTTCTGAGTGCTGGTTCCGTCCCATGGTTGTTTTTTTTTAACCATCTGCACAGATTGTCACAAGAAAGAGCAAGAGCTTTTGGTGTGCATTTTACAAGAAGGAAGAGAGATTAGACATCTTTGGTAATATACTTGTTCGTGAATGGCACAGGGCTGTGACACATCCCTTCCTTGCCCCTTCCATGACCCTTTGTTTGGTAAGAAATTGATGCTTTTTGATTCAGGACTCAACACTTCGTGATTGAAAGTAATGAAAGTAGCCACGTCTTCACTGTCTCAGTGCCTACTTGTATTGAAAGAGTTATAAATTCCTGTTACTCAGTATTCCTGGAGATGGGGGGGGGTTGTTGCAATTGATTGTATAATTGCTAGTTGTGGTTGCTTTTTACATTGACACATTTGCTTGGAGAGTAACGCGTGTTTTACAAGCCATGGCTAGAGCAAGGAGCTTCTGTGTGTGTCATTCTGCTCAATAGCATCTATTTACTTTTGTTGGGAAATTATAAAGATGGTATGCTATACATGTACTTTGTTCACATTGTAGAAGGGTTAATATATAATATATTTGAAACTCCATGGCTCAGATTGTATGCTGTCTTTGAACTTGTTGGCTGTGTTTTACTCTTTAAAATGCATTTGTGGATGATTGAAGAGACGAGCTTCTTTGTCTCAGAGGGTGTATGCTTTACAGTACTGGGCTCCCGGTTTTTATTTATTGAAGTGGTGGTGACGTTGCTGAATTTTCTTGCCAATCCTCAAACTTCTGCAAGCCGAGTATTTATACACACACGTCATTGAATGTATGAAATTGTGTTTGAATTGTCAGTTACAAGTTTTTTGTGTCAAGATGTTACGAGAAAGAAATGAACATTTCAGCATTACACTGTTGTACAGTTTTTTCTGATGCTCTTTGACAACGGCCCCATCCCCCATCCCACCCCATGTCCCTTGAATTAGTTTTTAATGATGATTAAATGATATGGAATATATCTCAGAAGAGTTTGTGTTTTAATTTGTGGCGTGACTGGAGGATTTTCCACTCTTTTTAGCTGATCACTGAAATATACCCTCTCCTCGACTTGAACCTGTACAATTCCAGGTCAGTTGAGACTGGATGTACTACTGGTCTCTCCAGCCAAAAGCGTTGTGAGAGTAAAGTCAGCTGTCGCTCTATCTTCTTGACGCAAGTCCTAGGCTTGAAAGCTGAAGCACGAAATCATGGGTGCAAAATTAAAAACTTTGGAATTTTTTAACCTGTACAAAGTGGGTAGTTGGCGGGTGCTGTGGTGTGGTTTGCTCCTTCTTTCCTATCAAACATCTATCGTCTTTATCTCCCCTCCTTTTTTATGTTGTTACTCCCTTGTAACACCTCTAATCTTCTGGCGCTCATATGACCTTATGCAGTTGCGAGCGCCGTAAAACCTTAACTAAAACTAAACTAACCTGTACAAATGTTGGATTTTCAATTTCATTTAATTATTTTCGTCTTTCGAGTTTCCGTCCTGGTTGTTACACTCGGTAGGGCCTACATATTGCTGTCTGTGGTGTAGGTTTGGGCGCTTCGCTGTCATATGCTGGAGACCTGGGTTCAATTTCAGAGCGAGAAGAAATTTTTATCAGGTATCTCGGTCTTTCTGCTGGGATATGGTATCCCTCTGGTAGGAAAGATCTACACCTAGCCTTCTCGGACAAGGGCGAAAATTCTCGGAGGGCCCGTGTGCTAGTAGGGTCAGAAGCCTGCTTCCTAAATTATCTCAATTTTGTTTATGGGGGGCATAAAAACACCTACACTAAATTTTAAAAAACCCAAGAAAAACCCTGTGTATATGCACTGTAATGTAATATGTTGCAAAAGTTGTCACACCTACCTTACAAGTACAATAACTCATTTACTATTCAACACCGCCAAGAGAAATTTGGGACCCATGATCTTTATTCTTTTTGTACCGACATGACATGAAAAGAAATGACAAATGTCTTTCCTTATCCAAGGGAGATATTTAATTCACACTGTCCCTTGCAAAATCCAAATCAGTTTGCTCAGTATTGCGTGCAGCCTCTTCCATCTTGAATTACTGGTACAAAACATCTCTTCATTGACTGAATTGATGTCATATGGTTGTTTGAAGAATCCCCTGCCATTCCTTGTGAAGTGCAGCCTTGAGTTCCTGGCGAGTTTATACGGAGTGCGGCCTGTTTCTAATCTTCCAGTCAAGGTCATCTTACAGATGTTCTGTTGGGTTGAGGCTTAATGATCTTGCACGCCAGTCCAGAATGACGATTTGATGAGTTTGGAAAGAGTTTTCACTGATAGTGGCCATTTGTGGTCATTCGATGTCTTGTTAGTACAGTCGGTTGGGACCTCAGAAGGGTATGGTTTGTTTTTTTCGTCTTGATCAGTCCTGCCTAAGACAGCCACCTGTCTTATACAGCCATTTTCTCTTTGACAATGGGTGGTCGTCTTACACAGGCTGGAC